TTTGCATGTTGGATCGGTTCTGTCCAAATAAGGGCCCCTTTTGTTAAATATCGGTTAATATTTAGTATATGAAATGGACCAAATACTTAATTTCTGTCGGATTTTCTGGTCGCTCTTGAGGCCTCAATTATGGCCCGAACATCGAAATTTTACATGGAGAAGTGGGATCGTACCAAAGAATAAGCAGGACTATTTTGATAAAGATCGGTCAATCGGTCAAATGGACCCTGACTTTTGTGTGAAAACGTTCAAAATTTGTTTCCTGGAGCGTATATATTCTGAAGGACATAGACCCGAGAAGGTGATAGTGTATCCAATAGGGGTGATTCTGAAGGACATAGACCCGAGAAGTTGATAGTATATCCAATAGCGGTGATTGACCTTTAAATTGATTCCAATTATATTTTTGTATGTTCTCGGATGTCGGAGTTATACTTAAATTTTGAAAAGTGTATATGTGTTATTATTTTGTTAAGTGTTACTATTACCCCACTAGAGGGTGATCACCTAGAAATTTTATACGAAGTTTCAGTTATGGTCAGGGACGACGCCTATAATTCGGTGATGCTGAGGGGGTGCAATAAACCGAAAATGATACTCCATGGATCAAATCAACCAAAATCTTAAATGACCAAATTTTTATTATTTTATGTAATTATTCACCTGGGAAAAACAAAACTTGGAAATATGCCAGGGTTAGAAAGTGGAGCTGTTGACCTACAATCGATCATGAGGGTGCAAATATCGCGACATATTGCCCAGCATTTGAATATACAACCGCAGAAAGTTAAATTTTCGTTAAAATTTCCCCTCATTGGTTTTTATTATTAAGTATTTATTTATAGCAAAATCTATCCATTTTTATAACCTCCACTATAGTATGGAAGTATTAATAACTTTATCATTTCGGTTATTGATCTTAGTAACATTTTAAGACCATCAAGCCATGTCCGAATCACTTCCTAACCCTATTGTAATTGGGAAAAATCAGCTTATTTGTTTCAGATTTATATTTATATATATATATATATATATTGGTCCGATTTAAGGTAAATGATGTACCAAAGTCCCTATATACCTTTCGATTTGCACGAAATTTGGCATAGCATACTGAATTTAGCCTAGAATAATGTGTGCAAAGTTTCGTGAAAATCGGTTTAGATTTATATGTAGCTCCTATATATATTTTCGTTCGATTTTATGTAATTGGTGGCCCAAAGTCCCTATATATCTTTCGATTTGCACGATTTTTGGTATAGAGAGTCTTGTAGAATACTGAATTAAGTCTTGAATAATGTTGCTATGCTTCATGAAAAGATCCATAGCAAGGCCGATTGACACAACGTACTAAAGTAATATAAATTAGCCTCTGGCAAGTTTCCTGAAATCGATTCAGATATAGATAACAAACACGTGACGTCTGTTAGGACACATATGTAGAATATTCCCAACTTGGTCGTTTTTAACCGAATTCGCTGTAATTTGGTATTTGTATTACTGGTTCAAACTAATTTTTCTGCAATTGATTTTCAATTGGATGAAATTCCAACCAAGTTATCATTATCTATCCATATTTAGGTATACCCCAAAATACCAAAATATTAGGGATACCCTTATATGTGACTACCCGAAAAATGAACTATACTTATAATTTTTAGTGGAGTAATTTAGTACTCAATAAAAACCCACTGTACCAAATTTTAGCGAATTCAGTTATAAAACGCGCCCAAGAACCCCAAAATACCGAAAATTGGTGGTACCCTTATATGGGGGCTATCCGAAAAAAATAGACCTATATTTATAATTTTTATATTTTCTATATAAATTTTAGATTTTCGAACCAATAGGAACTCAAAGTTCCATATTTCAGCGAATTCGAATTCAGCAAATTTGGTCGAAAAATGCAATCAAGACCCCATAAATTCCGCAAAATTGGGTGTACCCTTATATGGGGGCTATCCGAAAAAATGGACCCATATTTAAAATTGTTAGTGGAGTGATTTGCTACCCAATAATAACTCAAAGTACCAAATTTCAGCAAATTCAGTTAAAAAACGAAACCTTGCACAACGTATCAAATTAAAAGTATAATGACGTTATTCATTTCGTCGAAATTGGCGAACAACGTTTAAATTGAACTTATAAGAAAAGTTATGCAGACAATGCTACGATATATATTTTCGAGCGACACCATGTTCATTGCTCATGAAATAATCCACAGGAGTCCGAGTGAGATTAATTTTGAGCAGTGCAGCGAATATCGTGTTTCAGGTTTTCTTTTAATCGATAAACATAATTGTTGTCCCTTTGTAAGCAAACGCCTCTAAATATGCCCAAAGGAAATTGAATTTAGCACAGGTTGCAGAAGGGCATGTGTATGGATTTATATTAGTTGGTTTACATATAGATAATGATCGAATATCCATAATGTCGGCCTCGTCCGACTTTACTTTCCTTACTGGTTTTTACGAGCTCGTTACTTTTCCTACAATTGTCTTTGGACAATTGTTCATATGTAATTCTAAACATCTATGTACACGTAACGTTAACTAAGCATACACTTTTATGGTTTGTTCCATGCATTAGTTAGATTTCATATGTTCCCTATGTATTATAGGATGGATTGAAATGATATATTTGATGTAAAACATTGATACGGATTGTTGTTTGTATTTTATTTTACTGAATAATAAAGATAAAGGGTATATTTTTTTAAAAAAATATTACCTGGAACATGGATATTTCTAGCGTATAACTATCATTAATCCTGTCAAAGACATCAGTGCGTATGATGTATTCCAATAACAGTAGTAATACGCATCAGGCATGCAACTGACACAGTGGCATATGTATAGTATAGCCTCCATATAACGATACCCCCAAATTTCGCATTAATAAATCGTTATTTAAATAAAATAACAAATTTCGAAACATCCTAATATCCAAAACAATATCCTCAACCACTTTCGCAGATAGATAAAATGTGTAAAAACTACACATTATTGCTGGAAGCCACCACAGCTTGCTTGCGTAAAAAAAAACAACACAACACAACATCAACAAACTCCACAACACCCACAATAAATGCCATCATTGTTGTTGTTGTGTTTGTTATTATTTGTTACGATTTGTTTGAGCTACGTTCTATCAGTTGTCTGTCCATTCGTGCGCACGTTTCTGTGTCTGTCTGTCTGCATTTTCAACTGTCTGCCAGCGAAAGAAGTGCAAGAACATCATGCTATCCATGCCAGGCTGGCTGGCAATTGCAAGCAAGTCAAGTGAATGCGTTTGTTACACTTGAATATTTTTCTCAGTTACAGGGAAGCTGAGCAAAAAAACAACATACACACACATACAGAACGAACTGTTGGACTGGTTGACGTTTGTGAAGGATGACTGGTAGCTAGGCTTGGCATTTTATTTCTATGCTTGTTTGTTGTCGTATTTTATGGGAGATTTTTTTCTTCTTTGCCATTTTTTTCTTCGTTTGTCTTTATTGCCATAGAAATGGAATCGGGGGAACAGCGATCTCCATCCAAACCAATGTCCTTATAGTTGTGTTATAAAATTGTATATATATAATATTTTTTTATGATCCGCATACGATGCTACTGGATTTTTTTATTTTTTATAAATGTATGTCAGTGTAAAGAGCAAAACAGACAAGCTGAATGTCTGACACCCGTTACAAAGCAGCGTTTGCAAAGAGTTGTTAACTTTTTTTCCTTTGTGTGTTACCGGCTTTTTGCATTCTTTTGAAATGGCATTGCATAGCCAGCTGAATGTGAAAATTATGATATCTGATATGCCAGCGCGTGCCAGTTGATGTTTTGTGGACTGCCCTCTGCCAAGTATAATATTTTTAAAATGTATCTGGTTAGAGTAAATAAATGTTAGCTTTAATCCAAAAATTGGCAACATAAAGTGGTATTAAGTTCTATCGACATGGAAATCGAAATGCAATCCAGTGATATGGCGATATCTGAAAAACTTAACTTAAAAAATGTACGCCTTTTGTGAGTCCTTGAACAAATATTCTATAAAAAATCTACGCCGTATGTGGGTCATTTTAAAAATATTTTTTAAAAAATCTTTATTTTTATAAAAAATACGCCTTTTGTGGGCCTTTGAAAAAATATTCTTTAAAAATCTACGACTTTTGTGGGCCCTTGAAAAATATTCTTTAAAAAAATCTACGCCTTTTGCGGGTCTTTGAAAACATATTCTTTAAAAAAATCTGCGTCTTTTGTGGGTATTTGAAAAAATATTCTTTAAAAAATCGACGTCTTTGGTGGGTCTTTGAAAAAATATTCTTTAAGAAAATCTACGTCTTTGGTGGGTCTTTGAAAAAATATTCTTTAAAAAAATCTACGCCTTTTTTGGGTCTTTGAAAAAAAAATTCTTTAAAAAATCTACGCGCTATGTGGGTCCTTGAACAAATATTCTATAAAAAATTTACGCCGTATGTGTGTCATTTTAAAAATATTTTTTTAAAAAAATCTGCGCCGTATGTGGGTCATTTTAAAAATTATTTTTAAAAAATCTACGCCTTATGTTGGATCTTGAAAAATATTCTTTAAAAAATATACGCCTTAAGTTGGTCCTTTTAAAAGTATTCTACAAGAAATTTACGCATTGTGGGTGTACTTCAAATAATATTCTTTAAAAAGTATTCGCATAGTGTGGGTCCTTAAAAAAGATATTCTTTAAAAAATCTCCTGCTTATGTGCGTTCTTGAAAAAATGTTGTTTAAAAAATGTTCGCACTGTGTGGGTACTTGAAAAAATTTTCTTTAAAAAATCTACACCTTATGTGGGTCCTTGAAAAATATTCTTTAAAAAATCTACAACTTATGTGGGTCCTTGAAAAAATATCCGTTAAAAAATCCACACCTTTTGTTGGTCCTTAAAGTCATATTCTTAAAAATAATTCATTAAAAATTCACCATAATAAATGTACCTTGGAAAAATGTTCTTTAAAATCCCTCTATTTAATTTCAGGTCATTGATTGGGGCGTAGAGCAATGTCGCTCCCTGCATGTCCACATAAAATCACCACCACGGCTACGTGTTGATCCGGCCAGTGTCACTCTGCACAAAGGCGATTCTCTGCGAGTGAGATGTCTATCACCCGGCAACGATGATATCAAGCGATATGCACAACTCGGTTACAGTTGGTCACGAAATGGCCAGCTATTTCAATCCGATCCAAAAACTGTCATGTGGGAAGATCTCTATCCGGATGGTAGTATTTTGAAAATTAATAATATACAAAAATCTGCTGAATATACATGTGTGGTCTCCAATACCGTGAAACCGGTTTCGAAAAGTGTCTATATCACTGTAATTGATCGCAGTGCAGTACATGTTTGTCATGCGGAGACGGCATATGGTGTCCATTGGCCTACAAGTGCACCAGGAGGTGTACCGGTTATTTCTGATTGTCCGAGGGGGTTTGAGGGATTCTCAAAGCGTACTTGTGAAAAACGTGATGCTGGCAATACAACATGGCTAACACCAGATTTTTCGAATTGTATACGTGATCATTTACTGAAAATCTATAATAAATTTCGTGCCCTCACCTCAGGATTTCAACAGACGAATACATCGGATTTATTAAAGGCCAGTTTGGATTATACCCTGCGCAGATATAAACATTTTTTGCCAGGAGAAGCTGGGTTTTTGATTGATATGTTACATGAGGTAATATATTTTTTTTCAGAAAATTATTTATTTAAGTTTTTCCAAAACATTATGTTTAAGTAATTTTAATTAATAACAATCATAAGCACCCGTGGACTATGTTATTAAAAATAGTCATACGCCACCATGTCGAAGAGTTGTGTATATTTTATTTATTTATGAGTACATAGTAACTCTCCACGAAGTTTCTTCGTGTACAATATCTGAAGATTTTAATTTTTGGGAACTTAATATCATTTTCCATGCTTCCGTAAAATTTAAATATGTATGGCGAAATATGCGTATACGTCATTGTTTTCTCACAGCAATCATACACCATGATTATTAAACGAAAATTTTCATCAAAATGCAATGTGTTTTCCTTTGAAGAAAACTTTAGTTTCCCATTTCTTCCGTTTTTGGAACTTTTCAAACAACCACAAATTTTGTGACACCATCGTCCAAAAGTTTTTGTCTTCTTCTTGCTTCACTTTATGCACCTAATTTTAGTTTTTTTGTGCCGGTGTGTCTGTCTTTTTAAGTTTGAACAAATATAACTGTCTTTTTAAAGTTTTGACTTTCTTTAAGTCGGCCAAGAATTAGAACAAATAGAGAATTTTGTAGTTTTGCGTAACATTTTGTTTTAAATTCAGAGAAAAGATCAGTAAGTGCAACAAAAAGTTGGAAATATAAATTAAGGGGACGCATCAAGTGACGGCTGAAGGGCTTCTCAAACTTTTTTTCTTTTGCGAATGGCGGGCACGATTACTCAAAAACTAATAACCCAATCGATTCCAAATTTTTACACGTTTGTCTGTGAGTGTATAGCTATCGTATGAACTAGGATAAAGTCAATCGGTGAGAATCTTCCTTATTTTTTAACTTGGTTTTTGGTCAAAAATAGCCGATTTTTAGGATATTTAGGATATTTTTTCAAAGGTCCGCCATTTTGTTAATTTTAGAGCGAAGTCAATAATCCTAGTTCAAACGAGAGCCAAACATGTACTCTTTCTAACACCGTTGGAATTTTCGGAAATTTTTTTAAATTATTTTTCTTCTCTTTTAAATCTTCAAATATATACAGTGAGTGTAATAAGTATTTTGCCTCAATATAAATTTGACAAAATTCTAATATATACGCCTAAAGCCAGCATACTAAAGATGTAAAATGAATTATGTATGATGGGATATGTTTGTGGACATATTTAGATCTTATTTCTGCAAGAATCACTGCGAAAGACCTATTGGTCACGAAGATATCGTGACCAATGATGTATTTCTATTGCCACAAAACCGTTCATATCTTAGAATCTGACCTCCTTATTGCTATTTTCATCTCATATATTGGTTCCTAGATCAATATTAATGAACCATAAAGTTTTCGAAGTCAGAAAAATGGGGTTTCGCGGTATTTTTTTTAATAATTTGTTTGTCGAATTTTGGTTTTAAAAGTTTTTAAGTTCCTGTCCTCGCGATTTATTTTGCAAAACCTCCTTTTTATTATTCTAAAGTTATTTGGGATCTTTTGAAGCCGCGACGACCATATCTAATACTCTCATTTTGAGATTAGGACGAGAAATTACCATATATTAAATGAAAAATTGCTGGAGGATGTATTGAACGTAAATGTGAGAAAATATTCGCGAAAAAATGCCGTGGTTTATTGGAATCGTCGCCAAATCGTTTTTAGTATGTGGTTAGCCGCAATGGTAACTATAAAAAGACAAAGCGTGTGTTATATAATGATTTTTTCAAAAATGATAATAAAAAGCAAAATACTTTTTTGTGATAATCATTTTTGTGTTGGTATAGATTTTGGCCGATATCTTCGTGACCAATAGGTCTTTCGCAGTGATTCTTGCAGAAATGAGATCTAAATATGTCCACAAACATATCCCATCATACATAATTCATTTTACATCTTTAGTATGCTGGCTTTAGGCGTATATATTAGAATTTTGTCAAATTTATATTGAGGCAAAATACTTATTACACTCACTGTATGTGCAATGTTACAGACCTTAACAAGCATTGGTATTGATTTACCAGCCCATTGAAAATCTTGAAAAATTAAAATCGAGAATGGGTGGGGTTCCCTTAAGAAAATATATGAGACAAATGAAAGCGAAATGAAGGGAACGACTGCCGCGGACCCACCATATAATTTCAGTTGGGCAAATATTTGAAGTTTTGAAGTTTTTCACATTTATAAAATGGCAACTGTTAAACTACATGTTTGTATTTTGTTCAATCTACAGACCTTTTAGTTCTCCGTTGCTCTTTTAATACCAAATACCTTTCTATGCCATTGGAATTGGATATACATTCCAGAAGAAATTTATCAGGTACTTTATTTGAAAATTTAAGGAATTTTGTGCTGGATATTAGAAGTTAAAATTCTATCCCCTCATTTAGATATCAATTTTTTTAACGGAGGCTCTGACTTCATATGCGAAACTTATCCGGCGTATTACACAGCCTTAGATACTTACTTAGATGCTGTCAATAATTTGCCCTCTCAGGATCTTGTCATTTGCTGCGTTGTTAGCGGAGTCTACGTTTGTCAGATACACTGTTATTGTCGATCACTGCGTAGCAAATCACGTCCCTGTAGTACTTTCTGCTTACATTGTGTGGCTTCATTCCTTGGACTGATGTCAGCTATCTCTTTCGTACAGTCGATGTGTTTCAATTGGGATTCACAGAATTCCGCAGTGAATGTATTATCGGTATCAAGTCACGGGAAGCTCGTATCTATATATCGCTTTTGTTCAGCGCAAAATTCCATGACGATTTGGAGATGCCCGTCTGTCTGTTGTAATCACTGTAGATAGGTTTGCAAAATTTTGCATAGAGCTAGTTGTATTTTGTCTACAGGTAGTTCGATAATGTGCCAAAGCACTGCACTTTTAGGTATAACCCCTATATACGGTACCGCCAAATTTTCGTATTAAATGGATTTTGAGAGCGTTTTTTGACCCAATTCGTTATAATTATAAATATTATAAGTTATGAATATTGGTCCATTTTTCGGGTAGTTCCCATATTATATACCCCTAAATACTAAGCATTTTGGGGTGTTTGAGCGCGTTTTTGAACAGAATTCGTTGCAATTTGGCACATTGGTTTCTTATTCTTCTTAATTATCTGTCTATCTGTCTATTTTTTCGGGTAGCCCACATATGAAGGAACCCCCAATATTTACGAACTTTGTAGAGTTTTGGCACTTTTTTCAACCAAAATGGTCGTAATTTGGATTTCGTATTCTCAAAGCTTAAAATTATCAATATTTTTCGAGTTTTTGAGTACCCCCCATCTAACGCTACCCCAAAGTTTTCTTTATGCTGGTCTTTTTAGTGCATTCGATTTGAAAGAAATTTAGCATAGCGTACTGACATGAGTCTAGAATGATGTGTGGTTAGTTTCGTGAAAATCGGTTCAGATTTAGATACAGCTCCTATATGTATTTTATGTAAATGGTGCACTAAAGCCCCCATTTATCTTTTGATTTGCACGAAATTTGGCAAGGCGTTCTGAATTAAGACTAAAATTATGTGTGCTAAGTATATGTGTTCAGATTTAGATATAGGTCCCGCATATATTTTCTAACAATTTTATGTATGTTGTGCAATAAAGCCCCAACGTTTATTTGATTCACATGAACTCGCGGACTGTGCGCTTTGCAGCAGCATACCAAATAACGTATATCAAATGTGCTTCGAATCGGTAGTGATTTACATATGGCTCTCATACATAGTTTTACTCGGTTTCATACAAATGATATACCATAAACCCCAAATTTTGCATAGATTTCAGAATGACATGCTTATGGGTTGATTTAATTTGGTACACATATCTCTGTAGATCGCATATTTAATTTTATATAATTCCATGGCAATGGCCAATGCTCAAAAAATGCTATGTATGTTCTATCGTTATGCTAAAATTTAGCCATCCTTGACTTTTTAGGTGCCTATGGGGGAGCTTAGAATGCCTTGACCTTGTTTTTGGATATACTTGCCATTTTTGATGAGAAATGTCGTTCTGTTTTTATAGCTTCTTCGATGTTTATTTGATGTCCTATTTGAACTCGTAGCTTAGTAATTTTGATGTCAATTTTCTACGGAAAGTGGTGGTATATTCAAAACATTTTAGAAAACTCTTTAAAGCAAACTCATAGGGGACCATACATAATTTCTCTGTTCTATAAAATATCAAAATACATTCTTTCTCATAAAAAATCACTCAAGATACTAGGAGATGTTACTGTAGATTAATCTCTTATGGTATTTTATTAGATAGACAATTGTTGGTCATCCATTAAATATAATATATTTTACTACGTTTCACTTATTCATACTTATACAACATTCGTGTTTTATATAAAATATAAACACCATACAAAATCATATTTTTATGCAACAGCTTACAAATAAATTTAAATATATATTTTTAATTACACTATTTTAAAACAATATCTATAAATATAACTCTCCATTTTTTTCAATTTAATATAATGGTAATTTTTTCTATATTTCTGTTTTCTTTTTTGCAATATTCCAACCATTTGCAGCTCGATAATTATTTGCAATTGAAAGGCACTCAGCTGGAACGTGAAATGGCTGCTGAGATAATTTTGCATATTTTAGATAAAGTCATGCAAAATCCACAATCATTGAACAGTCAACAGGTATGTTGCGTTTTTTGTTGTTTTTTTTCGAACACATATTTTATCTGGTTTCAATTTCTTGTTGTTGGCCGCTGTTCTGTGGTTGTTTGTATTGTTAATACTTGGTTGCAGAACAAAAACAGATATTATTTAAATATTTATGACACATATTTCAACCAGTTGCCATCCAGACCAGCTCTAGACCCAACGTTTGGACCAAGCACAGCCAGCCATCCAGCCAACCGTAAACACAAACAATCAACATATAAATCAACACAAATTTTTAACAATGCATATTTTAACAGCAACCACACCGCATATCACAATAAAATAGTTGGCTTTTAGTTAGACTCGACTAGGTTGTACTGGACTCTGGATATGGGTGGGTAGTTAAATTCCGGATCATATTATATTCAATATTCTAATTGAACATGGTTTGTCGTGTCATCGTTATAGACATCAGTAGCAGCGGGATCCTCAACATCAACACACCGTCAGAAGCAACAGTAGTGGTGTGATGTTGTTGTTGCTGTTATTTTAGAAATCAATATATTAAATTGCTTTTGTTTATTGATGTACGTATACATACATATATCGTACACAAATAAATAAATAAATACCTTTTGTTTTACTAACGCTGACAACAACAACAATAAACTATTTGTTAAAAATGTTTGAAATATAAACAAAAAAATTCCAAAATATTGCTTATAACACAATTGTTATGATGTTTTTATTTAATGTGAAAAAAAATAAAATAACTTATTGACAAATGTCGTTTACACTTCAATTTTTCCATTGAATTGTTAACTATACATCGGGCATCCGGGCATCGGGGCCTATTTAATTAATTTTTATAATAAGCCAATATTTAAACATATTTAATTATACATTAAATTATTTTAGTCTAATTAAATGTGGCAAAATTACAAACATTGATGAAAATATTGCAATATTTAGATGAACATTTGAACTTCAAAATTCGATTAGATTGAAGTAATTGATTAATTTTTTATTCGGTTACAGGGGAATGATGTCAAAATCACTCTCAGTGTACCAAATAATTCAAAAAATTCGGGAACGGAAATAAAGTAAATATTTCAAAATTTGATGACAATACTTCAAAATCAACACAACAGCCAATCAGAAGTTAGCATTTAAATTTATCGAGTATAAGTTTACAAAGAAAATGCCATTTTTTGGTGTACCCCTTTATTAGGTTTAAGTGGTGAAAAATTGCAAAACTTGTAAAATTTGTGGATTCTTGCAGGTTCCAGAACAGATTTCAAAACTTGGCGTATATTGAAATGTCTGTTTTTATACCCTCCACCATAGTATGGAGGGTATATTAATTTTGTTTTTCCGTTTGTAACTCATCGAAATAATCATTTCCGACCCTATATTCTTGATCAGCGTAAAATTCTATGACGATATAGCCATGTCCGTCTGTCTATTGTAATCACTCTAGCGTCTAAACGAATTGAGATAGATCGTCAAAATTTTGCATAGAGTCGTCTTTTGTCTGCAGGCAGGTCAAGTTCGAAGATGGGCTTTATCGGTCCACGTTTAGGCATAGCTCCCATATAGGGGTACCCTCTAATTTTCGGTACTTTGGGGTTCTTGAGCGCGTTTTTCAACCGAATTCGCTGAAATTTGCCACATTGGGTTCTTATTGGGTAATAAATGTCTCCACAAAAAAATATAAATTTTCTGGTAGGCCCCATATAACGGTACCTACTAATTTTCAGTATTTTGGGGGTTTTGATCGTATTTTTCCGCCGAAATAGTTGTATTTTAGTATTTTGAGTTCTTAATAGCTTCCAAATATCTCCTCAAAAAATTATGTATATAGGTCAACTTTTTCGGATAGCTCCCATATAAGGGTACCCCCCAATTTTCGGTATTTTAGGGTTCTTGAGCACGTTTTTCATCCGAATTCTCTGAAATTTGGAACATTGGGTTCTTATTTAGTCCTAAATGTCACCACTAAAAATTATAAATATAGGTCCACTTTTTCTGGTAGCTCCCATATAAGGGTACCTCCCAATTTCCAGTTTTTGGGGGGGTTTTGACCGGATTTATTCACCGAATTGGCTGTAATTTAGTAATTCGAGTTCTTATTGGGTAGCAAATCTCTCCACAAAAAATTATAAATATAAGCCATTTTTTTCGGCTAGCCCCCATATAAGGGTACCCCCAATTTTCGGTATTTTGGGGGTTTTGATCGCATTTTCGACAGAATTCGCTGAAATTTGGTACTTTGGGTTATTATTGGGTAGCAAATCTCCCTACCAAAAATTATAAATAAAGGTCAATTTTTTCGGGTAGCCCCCATATAAGGGTACCCCCAATTTTCGGTATTTTCGGGTTCTTTATCGTTTTATAACTGAATTCTCTAAAATTTTGTAAATTGGGTTCTTATTGGGTACTATTACTCAACTAAAAATTATAAATATAGGTCCAGTTTTTCTGGTATTCCCCATATAACGGTACCCCCAAATTTTCGGTAGTTTGGGGGTTCTGATCGTATTTTTCGACAGAATTGACTGTAATTGAGTACGTCGAGTTCTTATAAGGAAGCAAATCTTTTCACTATAAATTATAAATATAGGTACCCATATAAGGGTACCCCCCAATTTTCGGTATTTTGGGGTTCTTGAACCAAATTCTTTTTTGTAATATGCCTCCCTCCCAAAAATTAATAATATTCGCCCCCTTTAAAGGGTAGTCCCCATAAAACCTCCTTTTTATACCCTTCACTACACTGAGGTACAGGGTATTATGTCTTTGTGCATATGTTTGTAACAGCAAAAAGAATCGTGATAGACACATGATTCTTTTTAAGAATATGCATAGAATCACGTTCTGAGTCCGTCCATGTATTTTTGTTAACAATGTCGCATTTATGATCCGAGTTTAGTTGAAATCGGTTCAGATTTATATATAGCTATAGTTTCGTTCTCTCGTCCGATTTTTGTACCCTTCACCCTACTGTTGTACAGGGTATTATGCCTTTAGGCATATAGGCACATGGTTCCTTTTGAAAATATGCACAGAATCACTTTCTGAGTTGACTCCCATATATATTTTCGTCCGATTTAAGGTAAATGGTGTACCAAAGTCCCTTAATATCTTTCGGTTTGCACCAAATTTAGCGTAGCGTAATGAATTAGGTCTAGAATGTTGTGTGTTAAGTTTCATGAAATCGGTTCAGATTTAGATATAGCTTCAAATGGCTATCAAGGGTCAATATTATTAATTTTTCGCACGCAGATTTGCTATGCAATGGGAACCCAAAGTATCAAATTACAGCCAATTCGACCGATTAGTCCCATCCTCGAACTAGAGTGGAAGAAACATTACAATGTGCAAAGTTTGGATGAAATCGGTTACTCCCTTTTAGAGTTATATTGCGCACCAGCCGACTCCAAATTGTCTGTAACGTGTTTGGTACAAAGAAACATGGAGCCTAAAATCAACATTTTAATGATGCTCATTTTTGCCTTGGCAAAGTGTATATACCCTCATTAGTCATAAGGCTGAGGGTATAAAACAATTAAAAACCCAAAATACCAATGTTTTGGAGGTGCCGTTATATAGGGGCTATCGGAAAAGTTGGGCCAACATTGATAAATTTTGGCGGGGAGACTTTTTACACAATGAGAATTCGATGTATAAAATTACAGAGATTTTGGTCGAAGGACATGCCCAAACTCTCCAAAATACCGAATTTTGGGAGGAATCTTAAAAAGTGAACAAATTTTAATAAGTTTTGGTAAGTTGATATGATGTTATGACATGACATCAATTCGAATGAGTTGGTCAGATCGCCTTCCCCTTTGAAAATTTTGTGAAGTTCACCTTATAATGTTGGCTAAAAACCCGACATAAATAAAATTCTCGGTCCATTTCGTCCACGAAATATTATCTGATTGTCATTGAAAATTATAAGCGTCGTCCTTGACCATAGCCGGAACCTCATTTTGGATGAAATCGGTTACTCCCTTTGAAAATCGACTCCCAATAGTCTGAAACGTCGAAAGAAACAATATTTTATTAGGCTTATTATTGCCACTTTGCTATTATTATAGAAAAGTGTATGCTAAGCTAAGTGTATGCTCATTAGTCTGAGGGTATAAACGTATGGGATGTGCTGTTATTTGACCTCTAAAATATTGACCTATCATTATCAAAACAGACATTCACAATAGTAGACCACCTCTCATTCCACGTGTAAAATTTGTAATGTTTGAATTATATTTATGTCCTCTAAACAGACTAAAACATCTGACAAAAATATTTTTTCGGCCCATTCCATCCCCTATATATCATCTGATCACTACCATATTCCCAAACGGAACTTCGTGTAAAATTCCATAGCGATTAATGCTATATTACCGTTCTCTACGCCTGATTATAGAGATGTGTCTAATCACTTCCGGTCAATATTCTTAAATATATCTAGTCCATGTCCATTTTTATTTTTATCATATCAACCATGCGTATTCTTTGGCCAGATTCCCTTTACCATGTAAAATTTGGTGGCGTTCGGATCATAATTGCAAACAGCAAACAGACAAAAATTAAGTTTTTGATCCATTTCTCCCCAAAATATTAACCGATCATTTTTTGTCCAGAGCCGGTCCAACGTGCCAAATTGGTCCTAACTGTGGCATGTATCGTGTTTACACTCACACATCGGACACATCGGCCCATCCGCCCATTTATCCATTATAATTTTTAAACCAACAGGTGGGTCTAAGACCAATATTCTGCGTCGTTATAAACTTCTGGGGTCACGCAATGATATAGTAACCTTACAACATAATTGTAAATGTGTGTGTGTAAGAATCCATAAAATTTAATACAGCTAATTAATTCACAGAATATTTTTGGCACAAATCACCAAAATCAGGCAATGCCACCTGTAAAGTAGCATATAATGCAAATGGTATTTTTTTCACGACAGTACGATTCGAAAAGACCGGAGTCTCATACGAGAAAAATTTGTACTCTCAGTC